ATAATGATTCTATGATTCTATGATTCTCCAACAGCATGCCTAGTACATCCAGTCTGACCTTTGATTGTTTTACACGGGGACAACTCCAACGTCTCTCCATCCATACACAGTTAAATCTAGATATACAGCTAAATTGTCAACAGGTAGTTGAGGAGTGACTGTATGTGTGTTACACTATTTTGTCACTCTCCTCATACATCTATGTAATGCCAGAAAACACTTCAGACTTGCTCGTCAATACGTGTCAGACAAATCCTTTCACATTAATCTTTAGCATAACATAGAAACAAGGTGTAATTACTTTTTTTTCCCCTATATTTTTTTAAAAACACTGATCTTTTAACAGAATGTGCTCTTAGGACTGGTGTTTTCAGGTAAGAGTTGGAGTCTCTGATACCCCCCTCCAATAGTTTGCCTCATGGTGTTGCTTTATTACCTTTCAGTGGTACATAAGGCTGCCCATGTGAGCGGTTATAAATAGGCTAGGTCGTTTGCGTGTTTATTAGTGCACTCATACCATTAATATCCAGAAAAGGGGTAACACTAGTTACTTTTTGATTAAAGATGAGGTATCAGTTGTGCAAAACAATAAGTTTTAAGAATTACACAAGGCTTGTTTCTGTACATGGAACTGGCAACCTCAGTCAGACCACACAGAAAAACTGTGTGAGAAAATGCATTTGAAGTGAAATGCTATTTAGATGCTGATTGATTTTATTGAATACTGTATGAATGCTGTATTTTGTTGAATACTGGACAGCCCTGAAGTGATCAGGCAGTTGGACTAAATGGTCCTTGTAGGTCCCTTCCAACTGAAATACTCTATTCATGGCTTGCTTTGTTGCCAGCTCTCATGACTCCAGTATTTATTTGGGTTTGTTTTTTTTTTCTTTCATTATATGAGATTTCTCATGAGAGTAACAAAAAATGATGATTGATGATGCCGTGCCTAATGCCTTCTAGATGTCTTGGTACCCGCTATGGGAATATTTCAAAATTACTGTAATACTGATGTATTTCTTATGTTGGACTACACTGTCTAGACCAGGTGTTAATTCTACAGGGCAGTGGTCTCTAACTGATGTAGACAGAACATTAGTTCCTTCTTAAATATAGAGAATATTAGTGTGGCACATTAGTTCCTTCTGAAACATTTTTTAATTGGACAGCAAGCGTCTTGTTCTCAAGAAGTAAAAGCTGAAATTATCTTTGAAGATCTTCCTTGTAATTTTGGGATGTGAAGAAGCCTCTGTGGCTGTGAGTCCCAAAAACAATGTTGTAGCGAGTGGAAAATGTAATTACTGATCCTTGTCACTTCTCAGGTGCTGTCCCTTTATAATCTGAGCCTGTCCCGTATGGAATGGAATTCAGTCACTTGACACCACTGTGCTTTACCATCTTATTTTTGATGAATCTCACAGGTTTGTGAGGAATTACATTTCGGTATCAAGCAGACATGCTAGCATATCTGCTTTTTTTTTTTAGGGCTTTTTCATTTCTAATTCATGATCATGAAGGGTGTGTCTTGGGAAGTTCAAAAGCTAGAAGGCAAACAGGAAAACTAAGACTTGATTTTTTTAAAAGGACTTGGTTTTTAAGTAAATAAATTTTTAAGACTTTGATGTCTCATTCATAGTATTTGATTTTGGATATATTCTTTAATGACTAATTTTGGTCAATAATGCATGCCATCTGTGAATTTCACCATGTAGTAATGAGAACCAAGGTGGAACATTCACTCCCTGAAGAGCTATATTACAGCTACAGTTTTCATTGCAATGTCTGGTTTTAAGAGAAGTGTCACCTGCTTCATTTTTGTCCAGGAAACAATGTTCTCAGCTTAATTACTCAATTTTTTTTCCATCTCTCTTAAAATTTTTTTCTTGATGGACAGGTTGGCCTGCTTTTCTGCTAAGATTTCCCCTCACTTGCAAAATCATGTGAGACAGAGGATTTTTAATGTAAGAGTTGCCCTTTCTATTTGACCTTTCCAAGGAAATTCGTAGCAATTCACCTGATCCTTACTGAGTTTAAACCAGAATTCCTGAAGTTAGTATTTTGACCTGGGGCAAAATACTATAGTTCTGCTACTCTTTTGATAGTAGGGAAAAAAAATTTCTATCAGAATTTGTTCATGTTGACATTTCTCCTTTAGAAAAATGAATGAGCCCTTTTTTTTCTAGTATATATGAAGGGTCACTGTCAAAAGAGAAGTTGTATATACCACTACCTGGTAAAACAGATGTAGATACTGATTGTTACAGGAGATTTTGTTACAAAGAGGTTTGTACCTCTAAAACATAAGTAATCTCTCTAGTAATTGCGTATATTCTAATGTCTTTTTTTTAATTATTGCTTAGATTTATAGGTGCCCTAACGCTCATTACACTGTAGAGTTCTGTCTCTAGCAGTTAGTTTAGTTTTGTATGAAATTTGTGGATTAACTCCAGCCAGCAAACTTCTGAGCACTTCTATGCCATTTGTTAAAGAGTAAACTTTAAAGCTGTTCTTAATGTTATTATTGAAGAGTAAGCTAAGCATCGTGTGCTAAGATGCAAATTTGGAAATTTCTGAGTATGCCAACAGATGATCTCAGCAAGTCTCCCACTGTGGCTTTAATCCCAGTGAAGGTACTGCAGAACTTGCGACTTTCCCAGCCACAGGCTCAGGATGTCGTAGACACGAGAACCACGTCATCATCCCCTGTGTGGGACTGGCATCTTCTCATGCCCCTGTGCGAGTAATGAATATAGGGGTTAACTGGTGCAGTAAGCCATCTGTAGAAATTTAACTCTAGCCTATTGATTTTTCAAGGACCGCGTTGCCAGTATTCAGCCAGAAGTTTTACATTTTCCTTATGCAGCTTAATATTACCTCTGGGTTCTCTAAAATGTCTTCCAAAGATACTTGAAAATAGTTTTTCAAAAGTTCCATGGCATTTTCACATGCCTTTATGTCTTTAGTTAATCTTCCCCTTTACTGCTGATTCCACAACTGTTAATTTTCCTGCGTTTTTTCCCAGATGGGATGGCCTGTCCTCTTAACTCAAGTCAATAAAACATTGTAACTTGGATACTGAAGATGAATACAAGATGTGTATCCAAGCACTTTCCTTTTCTCAGTTAATCTGAAACGGTCCAGGATGGAATGCTGAGAATTTAGATTCTTTTCATTGCTTGCCACGCTTATGTAGAAGTATTAAAACCAAAGACACTGCAACATAAATATGATTTTTTTTTTTACGGGTTTGGATTCAATGGGAGAAAAGTAAAATTACTGAATAAACTCTCATGTTTTAAGACACCTTAACTTAAAAACTGTTTGTTTGTTTGTTTGTTTTCCAGCAAAGGGATCCTTCTTCAAGATTAAGATCTTGCAGTGTAACAGACGCAGTTGCTGAACAGTCTCAATTATCCTTGGTAAACCAAAGCTAACTTCTATTTCTTTCTTTTTGTTTGAACATTGTCTGATTCTGAATAATATCTTTTCTTAGGTCAGTTCTAGTCAGGTATAGATCAGCAACCAATATGGGCATATGACTATCCCAAAGAGTAATGGATACCAAATTAATATCATCATGGTCAGCAACTAAAATGAGGACATTCATGTGAGAGAAAAACGTTTCGACTCTGAGAGCATAGTCACACTAACTTTAGTTATCTAACATAGAAATGTAGTTTACTACACTCCAGATACATAGTCAGTGGAGAGAGAAAATCCTCCAAGGGGTGTTTTCAGCTGGACTAGGAAAGGGCAGTAGCACCATCTATACTTGGAACTGTAGCAGCCACAGGACTCTTCTATCAGGTATATTTTTGTGTGCCATAAATAGATTTTACTTGGAATATATACGTCTATATAACATTAAAAAGGATCCAGTGTTTTACCTAGTTGTAGTTAAAAGGAGCCTTTTTGTGATAGTCCTCATACAATAGAACTGAATAGAATTGCATCTGTTGTAGCTTTTTAATTTGAGTAATTCAGGTAAGCAGCTGCTTCAGCAGTTTTATTTAAGTACATTCTTTGAACAGGAAAGGATACAAAGATGTTTTTTAAAAAAAGATTCTCTTTCACATCATAAACATGCACCCCTTCGATTTAAGTGATAGAAAGTTCTACGTATTTTGTCCTACAACCCAAGTGTGAGGATTGCAAAGGTGGTAGGCTGTTGAGAGATTACTTAAAATAGGATTGGCAAGATATGCTTTTGAATAAAACTGTTCAGGTTTTCAAAGTAATTTAGTATTTTAAAAAATTATACTTTTCTTCCAGGATGCTTTTTCCCTATTATTTATTAGAACTATATTACATATGAATCTACAAATAGCAAATTTGTGTGTCTTTTTTTTATGGAAATACTGAGTAAATACAGTACATCAGTAAGTTTGTTATTAAAGCTGATGTCTCTCCTTTGCTCATTCTTTCTGTTGCTATTGGGCAGACATTTACAATAACCATAGCGTTTTTCTCTCAGTTTAATTTTTTGACACATTCTAGAAGTTGTTTAGTGTATCTACATTTACTGCTTACAGATGCATGTAATAGCTGTTGTTCCACAAACTGCTGCTGAAGTATTGTCTGTCTCTTTACTTTCTCTCCTGGGTAAACAGTGGGGTGGTTTCCAGTACAATTACACTATAACTGTCTTCTCTCTCTACTGGACAAAGGTGACTCCAAATGCAGTCTGTTCCAGAGGCGTTCTGCTTCTTCACTTAATATCACTTTGTGGAGTCTGGGTTTCTTTAACTGCTGTAGTCAGATTGGGATTGGTGATACGTCTTTCGCTTTCTTATTGTAAAACATTCATTTCATTAGCAGATATTCAAAACAGCAGAATTGAAAGCATTGCTCTAAAACAAGGGTGTTACCTGATCTTAACCGTATTTAATCCTTACTGAGCTAATGATAATTTATATTCTAGCAACTAAGTACATACTTTCTTTCTAAATACAGTGTTCTTCTTGACTATGTTAATCCTTACTGAAAATTTACAGTATCGGTTCCATCTTTTTCATCTGACTTCTTCTGTGCACTCATTGATGACCAGAATGTATCCATTTTGTTTTTAAAGACCATGTTTATGGGCAGAACATGCAAAATTTGTTTGGGCAGAGGGGGGAATCATGTTACAATTAGAGTAAGTGTTGTTCTTATTATCATTGGCAATACTGAACATATAGAATTGGATACAAGAACTCCTGAAATTAGTTCCCATGGTGGTTTTTTTATGAGGTTCTGACTTGGTTATCAGTGATTGATGGCTCAGGTTTTTTATGCTATCATCTTAAAACATTATTTCCATCTGATTTCTCTCTTTTAATGAATTTGAGCATCTGTGATTCCTTACTCCTAAAGATGTGACAGTAATCTGTGACCTTCATCACTAAATATACTTATGTGTAACATTAATTATCATTTAACAGCAGAGTGGTCCGTCTAGGAGAGCTCGTTCTTCAACTGTCACAGGTGGTGAGGAACCAACGGTAATAATACTCTTTATCAAGCACTGTCTCTAAATACTGTTTTCCAGTAGTTGTTCAGCAGTCCAAGGCTGAATTTTTTCTTTGCTCATCCAATAAAATTCTGGAGGTGCTTTTGTGAAAGTGTAATACAAGGAATGGGGTTTTAATTTATATTGGACTTTGTCAAAAACATCCCATTCTTTTTTTAACCTGATTAAATGTCAATCTGAAGCAGGTTATTTAATGGAAAGAATTTTATAGTAAATATCATAAATAGCTTTTATGAATATATGCACTCCTAGATAATTTGTTTCAGGGACAGAAATATAATTTAAACTTGGTATGTTTCCTATTTATATGTGGGTAATGTCAGATCTTAATTTGGGTGTTGATGCATCATCCTGTAATACAGTCTATATTTACTGGGTTTTGAATTTTAAAAGCAGAGAGGCATACTTGTATTTTGTTCCTGCAAATAGCAAGGTTTTTTGTGTCCTTGCAAAACTTGCTTGACTTGTTAATCACTATTTAAAATGTGCTACATTGAGCTGTGAGGTAAAGAAGGTCTTCTGTTGGCAGAGCATCTTGTCTTGATTATACTTTTTGGAGCAAAATACTAATATTTTTCTGCAAATAACTGAGTTCAGACTTCACTGACTCACAATCAATACAGGTATATCATAGATGTTTTACCTAATTGTATTGCAGTTTACTAATGGGGCCCCACCCCCCCACTTCATCTTCATTCAGCGTGCATTGATACTCTGAAACCCAACTCTGTAGCAGAGTTGGGACTTAAGTAGGATTCATGCCTTTAAATCCAAAAACATTGTCTTCAAAGGTTCCCATTCTCTTTGTCCTTTACGCACCTGAAGTTGGTAGGCATTACAATCTGTCAATAGTAAAAGTTTTCGGGTCACTTCAGTTTTGCTTTCAGAATCCCTACAAAACCCCTCGCTGGACTGGGACCCACAAATGAGCCGTTCCTCAGCTCGCTCCCTGAGGAGGTGTAATTCCGTAGGCATGCTGGGGCACGCCCGACAGAGGCACCGGGGTGCACCGCACTCAAACGTGATGCTGCGGCATCTTCAGAAGAAGTGATGATGCCCCTTTTGATAACTGGCTTAGCTGAATTCCTTAAGAGCAACAAGCACCGAGTTCTGTGCCCTCCTGCGTATGAGATGATTTAAATCCGCGTGGCTCTTTCAGGAATAGTCCCAGTGCAGGACTGCCTTTCCTCTTGATTCTGTTCTGCAGTGAGAATGAAAGACGCGTTGCACAGGCGAGGGAGCAATAACCATGCGTGGCTCTTCAGCCCGGTGACGGATGCGCTCAGGGAGTTGAGCCCCTTCAGGAACAGCAGTTAAACCCAAGAGAGGCATATCCTGATGGGTTGCTCGGGCTGCTCTTGGTTTGTGTGAGAGTTGCTGTTACCACCGTGGCCTCACCCTGTCTGGTTTAGAGCGTGGCTGAAGTCAGAAACGGGCTGTGGTGATCTGTGGGTTGTCTTGGCAAGCTTTGGGGCCTGAGGCGGCTATTCAGGGGCATATTCATGCAAAGTAATGTTACTGGATTTGTTTTCCACCTGTGGGTCCAGATCTAAGCATTTAGATAGCTGGTAAGAAATTGATACACTAAATATTATGTGTAACAGTAAAAGTGTTATATCTGCCCCAGATACTCTTCATACTGGAGTGACAGAAGATAGCTAAATCTGTTACTTGAGTGTGTGTAATAAAAGTGGTGTTGATGGTTGTAGATAAAGTACGTGTTTGTGCAAATATATCTGTGGTTATTAACCACTTTGCTTTTCAGGATTTATTTATTTTCTTTTAGTCCCCAGGACCTTTACCATTCCTCTGTGAAGGGTACATTGTAAAACTAGTCTGAGCAAAACATCATGTGTCCCAGCATCTCCATTCTCATGACATTTTGTCTTTAACCATAATGCTTTTTTTACCCCCCACTCTTTACTGAAGATCGTTGTTAAAAAAAGTTCTCGTTTGGGGTAAAAAACTCTTTATAAATCTCCCAAGTTTCTGCTTGGTGTGGTAGAATATCTTTTGCACCGGTATCTAACATACAGAGAGGAGATTGATACAGATTATTTTTTTTTTTACATTTTACAGATTGCATTATGGGTTGCATTAACCCACAATGGATAGTAAGGAGAAAGGCTGGTGATAGCTGAACTTATTTTGGTGACATAACCAGCGCATCTTTCTTGTCTTTCTATAGCCTCACTGTCAAAGTTGGTAATTTGCAGCATGCCATCATATAGTGAATAGATTGTGTATTATTGCAACTAAATTATTCCATTTGTTAATGTAAAATCTTAGATTTATCCACAGCTTATGTTTACTCTGTGCTGTAGACAATAGACAATAGAATAGACCAAACAGGTAAGAGTATGTAGCAATTATCCATTGGTCCAGAAAATCTGTGAGTCACTGTCAGCCCTCTCAATTGCTCCCGGACTATCAGATACCTTAATTATCTAATTTTTAACTAGAACATTGTCTGTGGTCTGTTTTCAGAGCCTTACTATGGCCTTATTGACCACTGATTAAGGGTTTGGAAACCACTAGAACAGTCTTGGAAAAGGTAGTCTCCTTATCATTGCCTGCCAGCTCTGTGAACTTAAGACGAGTGCAAAAATAGCATAGTCTTTCTAGCACTTGACTGTTTAGGAAAGAAACCCATCAAGAGTCTCATAGTTTGTTTCAGCTGGTATTACTTGGGTTCCTCATCTGTTTTCCTCTATTTCCTATTGTAGTATGTCAACTTTCTGACCCATTCAGTATCTTGTCTCGTTTCCGTTCTTGGTTATCTAGGCCATTCTCCAGCTGATTGTGTCAACTGTCCTCTTCTCAAAATGCAAATATACTGACTTAAGCAAGAATCCTGGGAAAGAGGTCTTGAGAATAGAAGCAAGAAAAGGAATTACAGTTAATTACTGTGCTGGAGCAAAGAATGCACTGTGTAGAAAAAGAATGCATCCTCAATTTCAAGAGGAACCTTCAGAGGCCTAAAGAAAGTTATTAAATCCTGCTGTGCGATGTAATTGACATCTTCGATCTTTGGGTAGCAGTTTTCCACTGTATATGTATTTTTAAATGGAATGATTGTAAAACACAAATCACTGTTTATAAGGATGTGGAAAGAGTAATTTCTTTGCTTGCTTTGTGGCTAGTGTGCTGAATAAAGACCTAGAGACAGAGAGGCCCCTATCCAAGTAGCCTTAGTTCTGGCTTAGTACTCCTCGTGCTCTTGGGAGTCTGCTTAGTAATTCAAAGCATAGACAGTGTATACTTTAAGAAAAGAAAATATTTTGTAATAAGATGCAGAATACTTGCACTGAGGAATCTAAGTAGTAAAATAAGGGAAAACAGTGAAACTCTTAGAGTTTGAAGACATTAATGAATGGATTGCAGTTACTGAACTGGAAACTGGAATCATACTTAGCCATCTAAGCTTTACCAAATCATTTTGCATTCAACCTGTTCATCCTATGTATGCTGTAAGTGGGTATAGGCTTTTCTTGTACTGTCAGCCATAATGCAGTTGCTCAAGATTATTTTTTTTTCAATCTGGCAAAAAAAATTTCCTTTAATATAAATTCAATATAATTAAAAATCTTTCTGTGGCATTTCTCACATGACTTTAAATTTCAGTCTTTTTAAGCTTTTACTACTCTTACTGGTTTGTGGCAGAAACAATGTAGCTTCTAGTGCATCAAGCTCTGAATTAAGGCATCTTGCGAATTCCACTTCATGACAATTTTCTAGTTCACTACTTTCAGCATACAGATTTCTTGAATAGTGCTTGCATATATAATTTGATAGTGACTACTTCAGGTTTACAATAAATTGAATATTCAAAGTACACAGCCATAGGATAGAAACAAGTCTTTTATCAGGCTACTTTTTTTTTTTCTAATTTTTTTAAAATATCCTTTATTATGGATAGCCATGACAGATAAGAGGAAGAACATATCCTGAATTTTCCCAGGAGATCAATCTCAGTGTTTCTTTAAACATTGAGGGCAGTAGTATGGTACGGTAGGAATAAAAGTTTTTCATAATGTGTTGGATTTTTAGTTTAATTACAAGTATTAGAAATTTTTATGTTTAAATATACTTAGCTTTTTTCCATCAGAAGAATGGTCATCTGTGCAGTTATCACTTTACCAGGAAGACTCCTTTCTAAAACTTAGAAAGCTTAGCAATTGGTTTCTAACCTACGTGAAGGTATTTGATAATTTTCAAGGCTGATTTTTCCCTTGCTTTTATTTTAAGATCATACTAAAAAATCGTTGAAAGAGTCTTCCTTAAACGTCTTTAATCTCTTACTCATGTGCACTGCTTTGTATTCCAACATCCGTTCCAGGTGTTCACGGAATTCAATTTGCATCCCACCAGTGAGAATTTAAGAGCTCCGAGCCATGTATCAATGTTAATGCTTTGCAGGAGTGAACCTTCAGTCATTCGTCTTTACCAAAATCATTTGTCCGTAGAGCTGGTCTCCTTCTGCCTGTACTTGGGCTGCTTGCGTATGAATCAGCCCTGAAACAGAGGCTGTGTTTCCGATGGTCATCTCAGATGTGGGCAACGTACTCGGAAAAGCTCACAGCAGAGGCACCTGTGCTTACTCTTAAGTTGTTGATACCATCAGTGAGGTACACTTACATCTCTGCCTACAGGGGTTTAACTCGGGCTGCCAAAGAATGGATGAAAGAAAAACCCGTATCTGCCCCTAGTTCATTGGCTTACTCATTCTCTTGATGTGAGGCTGAGACATACTGCTCTGAGAAGAGTAGTGCTAGTGGTCAGCTCTTCCCAGCAATTATTTTATACCTTTAATAAAAATATCTTCAGTCTGTGTACTCTGTTTCTCCTTTATCTAGCACAGCAGCACATCGTCTCCATGAGTTGCCCTGAAATTGCAAAGTGTAAATGATACACCTTCACGCTTGATGCGTGATAACATGTTTTCTGTGAAAGGTCAGAAGGAAAGCATGACTGTGAATCAGAATTCTGTCCTTTTGGGGCATACCACCTTCAAAAGTGGGTTTGGTGTTGGGGTTTTGTTCCTGTTTTGTTGGTCGTCTTTAATGTAAAGAATACCATAGACTGAAATAAAGACATGCTTTGCTTTCTGCAGTAGGCAGTTACCTTAAGTATGTAGTCCTTTGAGAAGTGAATTGGATTAATAAGCATTGGAGTACTTTGACCTTGAGAGCAAAGGACAATTCATGGTATGCATGTGTTTGTTAGCCCTATTCCCTTGTTACGTCCAGTAATTGTCTGTTGTCAGACATTTGGTTTTACAGACAGTCTTTCTTCAAACGTTTTTAAGTGCAGCATCCTGCTTCTTTCAGGAAAGGGCTTGTAAAAAACATCTCCTCATTTCCAAGCAGTCTAAAAAGAATTCATGAATCATCTTCGTGTAAGCAGCAGATTGTTGGGGGTGGAAGGGGCAGCAACCAGAGCTGCTTTCTGCATCTTGGACCTTGATGCAAGTCCATTCTCTAGTTCAGAAGTCAGAACCATTTCTTCCTAATCTGAACTCTGGCATTAACTATTACATCAGCTCAAAAACTTGCAACGTTGCAGAAAACTTGATGTTCAGGTGCAACAAGGGCAGTAAGTTTAGCAGGTCAAGTACAAGTTTTGACTTTCTATCTGCTGTACTGCTTTGCGGTGCTACCTGTCAGCATTTAAACCTGAAATTCTTTAAGGCCCCGTAAATTCCCATTTTACATCCATAAGAAAAATGCCATGTACATTGCTACAACGTGTTTAGGGGAAGCAGTGATAAAAGCAGACTGCTAGGTCAAAGCAGTTTGGTTCGTTTTCTTACCACTACGAAACCGCCTGTTTCTAAGGGAATTAATGTTATTGATAATATATGTTATCATATATCATGTTGTAATATGAAATAATGTTATTGATTAATTAAAGCACTGCACAGTGCAGTTCATGCGCTGTTTTTTCTCCGTTATGTGATGAAGATCTTTAGGTTTCATCATCCTTCTGCTGTCAAGGCAGATATTTTGAAAGAGTGAAGCAATCTCTAGTATTATAGTCTCCTGATAATTAATGTATGAATGTATACTCTAATGTGATTGATCTAATAATTAAACTAAATGCATATTGAACCAAAGATCTAGACATAGGTACTGAAAAGGACCTTGCACGTGCCAAGTCTTTGATGCAATTATTAATATATGGGTTTATTAGGGAGCAGAAGTACTGTTCTGCAGAGTTTAGCAGGTTGCTTCTGTCTGCTGTGAATGACAGAAATTCCTGTATCTCTCTCGCTCTTAGTATTTACATCAATTACTTGAGAAAAGCACCTATCCTGAGTATTCTGATTTTCTTGTTTGCTTCACTGACAGCCAGGATTGCTGTTCTTAATCTGTTATACAAGCAAATGATGTCTTAACAGAAAGAGGAGTTCCAAACTGGAAAGTGACTATGCTTAATAAACATGTAGTTTTATGTAGAATTTATGGTCTAAAGACTACGACTCTGTGGGCATCCTCCCCTTCTAAAATACATACCAAGATGCAACCAGGGTTAAAAATTCTCTCTAGGCTATTTTTCTTCAAGAAGCTTTGCTGTTTGTGCTACAATGCATTTAATTTTTTTTCCCTCTAAGTCCCAGGAAAAAACATCCGGTTGGTTTAAGCGTTGATTCATTTTCCTCACAGGAAGTACACAAGACAACATCAGCAACGCGCAGTAACATAATCATTGTCTTGGATAGTGATAAAACTTGCTTAGTGACAATTAGTGCCTTTGGCGCTGTTAGTGTTACCTGTATATTTTTGTTAGAACAATGTCTTTCTTGGGGAACTTTTAGTAAAAAAATGTTTTCATAGTAAAGTTGGGGCTCCAGTTTGGGGTGTATCTTGTGTCTTCAGGACACCTAACCCTGAATGCAACATTTGTAACTGCAACAAAAAGGTTAAACTTCAGTTTTTAAACCCACCGTAGTTTCTTGCAGCTGATTCAAGACGCCCTGTGGTAAAGAAAAGAACAAAACTTGGGAGATCTTGACTCAACCGCACGGTTACTTCAATTCTTACTTATCCATTCTAATAAAAGGGAAAAAAAATCCACCTTTTTAAGGACAAATCATTAAACCACGAAGTTCCTTTTTGTCATTACGTGTATCTACAAATTAAAAAGTTTGAGGGCATATAAGCTTAGCTGCTTTCTGAACAAGATACCTGAATCTGTGCAAAAGTGAATCAAAAGATCTATTGGGAGAAAAAATTATTTGACTCAAAGGTACTTGAAGAAGAGCTTATATTAAATGAAACCAGAAACCGTGTTTTTCTGTATGTTTGTTGTATTTAAGAGTGTTATAAGTTTAAAGTTCCTTTTTTTTAAACAGACTTATGAAATTTTTTTTTTTGCAATTATAAAATAACAATACAGTAATTTCTTGCTTGAACAGCCTTCAGTGGCCTATGTACATACTACGCCAGGCTTACCTTCAGGCTGGGAAGAAAGAAAGGATGCAAAGGGCCGTACTTACTATGTCAATCATAACAATCGAACCACAACATGGACACGGCCCATTATGCAGGTATGATCTGTTATAATGCTTAATTAAAGTAGCAAACACTTTGCATGTATTGAGTGTAATTTCAGTTGAAGCAGCTCCTCAGAACTCTGATATTTTAAAAAAAAAAATTCCTAAGCAGTGTCATGACAATTCAGGATAATCATAAAAAATTGCGATGACTGGGATTTTTTTGTTACTTCGTTTAACTGTAATAAGGTACAGATTAATTTGATTGCTACAATGGAAGGAATTTACGGAGAGGTGCATATGAACTAGTAAAAGGAGGTAAATGCATTCTTAGGCTTGAATTTGAAAGTTGTGTTGATCTGTTAATAGTGCGATACATTATTTGCCCTTCCAATGGATTTAAAATAAATATTTTATCTTTAAGAAAGTGTATTTAATATTTCATAATAATAATAAATAATTACATCATTTTTTAAGTGCCCTAACTCTGGATGAACTGTGTTTCTGACCATTTGATAACTTGGTTTTGCTTCTGAAATAGCTTGCAGAAGATGGCATGGTTGGGTCAGCAGCAAACAGCAGCAACCATTTAAGTGAACCCCAGATAAGGCGACCTCGTAGCCTCAGTTCACCCACGGTGACTTTATCTGCTCCACTAGAGGTGAGAAACACTGTAACCAACAAAGATCACTTATTTCTGACCTCTCATTCTTTGTCATCCTTATAACTTTTTATTTCCTTTTTAGTCATGCAGCACAGCCACTTTTTCCCTGGTGCTGGTTTTGCCCTGATACATTGCTGTTTTCTTTAACAGTTTTCTGTCTGGATCTTTATATTGTACAATGGTGTTACTTAACTTTTATGGTGACTGAATGATGTGTTTTAGATATGATTGTTTGGTTTGCTCAGCTAAAACATAATCTGTGTGCATGTCTGAAACACATGTTGTTGTGGCTTCCTTCAAGTGCTATGAGTGTATAAAATCAGAAATATTCTTTTAAGTTGAAACATTTATTTTGATTCTGATAACTTTGAAAATAATACATCCAATTAGTTTCGAAAATCTTTGAATTAAGATACTGATTGCATTTTATATTCCTTGTCTTTCAAAAGGGTATTAATTTCTTCTATGTATCTTTAAAAGTAATTCAGAATACTGTTGAATGATGTTCACTGCAACATGTCTGAAGAATAACTTAAGTGGCTTCTTACGCAATCAAAGGCAATGTGTCTTTTATTTCTGAAAGTGTGATTAAAACTCTTGAATTGGTTAAACATGGCTGTGTTGAGGCGAGTAAGTTTTTAAAAATTTCTTCTTCAAACTTAAATTACGGCACCTTATTTGTCCTTCTCTCTCACCGTCTCTTTCCTACTTGTGCACCCTTTGCCCCTGCAAAAGTTTACCAACAATCCAGTGAAGATTGTAACATTTAGTTCATTTTATGCATCATTCTTCTTTGTTCCTTATACTGAAATGTACTCAAAGTATTAAGCAAGTTGTTAAGCAAAGGTAGGATTATTGGACAGATCGTAGCAACATGATTATGGTTCATATTTAAAATAGATTATCTCTACTTTTATGTAATTCAGATAAACCCTTTAACATTAACTAATTAAAACAACCCTTGCCACTGTTAATTTTGAAGACCAAATTCACTGTATTTTAAATACATTAAATTAAAATATTCTGAATGTCTTAAACTAAAACATCAAGGGCGGTTCCTCTCCCTGTTGACATTTTAGACAGTGGAGCTGGTGGAAGTCACTGACTAAGCATCTGAAATGTGAGCTAGCTTTTAAGGGCGATAACCTGTTCCGCAGCTACAAAACCAGTATTCTCTTCACTTCAGAATATTCAGCTAACCAGTTTGGTGGTTAGTTTGTTCAATGCTCAGAAATCACAAGGGTGTTGAAGAGTGCAAACATCTTCTTATACCCACCTCTGAATTAAATTTTTTTTTTAAAGAAAGTAAGGTGTAGACTTACTGATACTAAAATCTTAAAAGGATACAACCACAAGAAAAAAAAAATTAGTTCCACTTTTTAGAAGTTAATTTTTTTTTTAAATAGTCATTTTATTATAAAATGTTCAATTTCTTTGTGTACAAGGCATAAGAAAAGCTTTTCTTTAATGCAAGGTGTTTTAAAGGGTACTTTTGAACACGGTAATCTAACTGCATTTTGCAGCTCAAAACAAGCCGCAAATAAGGCTAGAATAGTTTCGTAAATATCCATGTTGGTGCCTCATTTTCTAATACAATACTCAAAAAATAGTAATTAAATGTAGGCCAAGTTAGAGAATTGCCAGAATAAGCATGCATAGATTTACTGAATCTTAATAATTAGCAAAACAAGAAGAAAACAAACTATTGTCACGTATCAGCTAATGAGAGCATGGTTTTGGAAAGTAACTGAGAAGCGCGAATGCAAACAAGATTTAAACATAGCACTTAAGTCTTGTTTCCCGATTCTGATAGTCTGTATTTTCAAAGGGGAGTAAATCTGGATCAAATTTTTCAAGCTGTTTAGTCATCTAAGCCTGTAGTTTCCCAGGGAAATTTAAAAAAAAACAAGCAAAAAAAAAAATCCACATGATGTAACTTCTGTTTTTAACCCATAGGCATTGATCAGTGAAGCAGTTTTGTGACTGTGATTATTTATTTAGGGGGAAAAAAAAAAAAATCATCCAAAATCTGTAATTGCAAACCTCTGTTTATTTTAGGAACTTGTTTCAAGTTCATATTTAACTGTTTTGTTTGTAGTTATAGTTGAGGAATGCATTGAAAAGTGGATAACATCACCACACATTTAGGATACTCTCTTGTTGTAAAGTGAGATACATTGCCCCATGAAGCACGAAGCGATGCTTTTATTTTTTCCTTCGTAAAATGACATATTGACATGTACAGGGCAGCTGCGGTAAAATATATAATCAAATGTAAATACTGTGGATGTTATCATCGCAGAGGGAAGTGATAAAACACTCCATCCTTCACAGCAAAAAGCTCGGTATGTTACAAGGAGCAGAGTTTAGCTAAGGAAGTTCTAGGAAATCAATCCCAGCGCTTAATTCTGGTATTAATTACATCTAGAATGAAAAACTAATTGCTGTGAAACTGAATTTTATTTGTTGTAGAGTATTGAGTGACATTTGACCAATCTTCATCTTTCATTTTTTTCAGGGTATCAAGGACTCCCCTGTGCGCAGAGCGGTGAAGGACACCCTTTCCAATCCACAGTCTCCACAGCCCTCACCTTACAACTCTCCTAAACCACAACACAAAGTTGCACAAAGCTTCCTTCCTCCTGGCTGGGAAATGCGAATAGCACCCAATGGCAGGCCCTTCTTCATTGATCATAATACTAAAACTACGACGTGGGTAAGAGAAATGCTAGATAATGAATTTTAAATTAGTTGCCATCTTTTAAATGTTTCTGTCTTTGTTTTCCTGCCTATATACCCCCCCATTTTATTGTGGCGTTTGTCTTGTCTTCAAGGGGGGATTTGTCAGCCTAACTTTTCATAAGACTGATGTAGGAATCTCGCTGAACCTCCGCGCAGTCACCTACAGTAGTAGCAGACTTGAGCAGCTAATGGCGTGAAATGACTGCAGCGCTGCCATTGCTGTACTCAGAAAAAGGAAGCTTGTTTGTTCATATCCCCTTAGATTTTGGTGCATTTATACATCATATACCATGCAGTAGTGTTTTATGTTTTGTATTTGACCTTTTTATACTTGACAAATTGCTGCATGCAAGTACTGTCCTTTAAATTCCCCACATTTGGGGTTTAGAGGCATACAGTGCAATGGAGATTTGGATTGTTGTTTAGTTTGAGACTGTCCGTAATTGTATTGTATTTCACTGTGACTAGCACTGCTTTTTTGTTAATATAATGTATGTTCATCATCTTCAGTTAACAGAATCCATTTTGTACTTGTTTTATGTCATGAGGATCCATTTTTCAATAATTCTGCTATTTTGGTCAACAAATTGTAGAAATGAAATTACACTAGGAAAAAAATGTCAGAGACAACCCAGCATTTCACATCACCCTTGAAATACAAGTTGCACTTTAATTTGTTAGGCATCATTCAGATTCCCAGTGACCACTAGTTACGTGGCGTATTTTTAATGGTGGTTCTTAATGGTGTTCCCAGGTGCATGTGGGTAAGATATGTGTGTGGAAATCTCAAGCATTTTTTTTGTCTAGATTTGTCTTCTGTGACCTATTTTACTTGCCCCTTTTTGCCTCATTGGGACATTGATGTAATAATACCTGAGCGTTAATAAAAATGTAAGGAGCTAATTTTCGTCCTTTTCGAACCTTTTTATGATAGGATGGCTTATTTCTCTTATGGTTTTAAGAACCAAAAATGTGCATATTTAGCTAAATGCCACTTATGGGAGTGCATGCATTCCTAAGAACAGAGCTGTGTTTTTTGAAGCATATCTCTGGATATAATACACTTAATGGAGTCAAAGTCTTACCTAACTAACTCTTAACATTTAAAAAATCATTTCAGTATATGAATCCTAGTAAAATATGTGACACATCCAAATACTAAATGTTCTATCACTTTCACATGTTTTGGTTTGTTCTCAAAAAATAAGAATAAAAGAATAACTGTAATGTCGGAAGATTTCTTTTCCAGATGATTCTGTGTTTGACTTGGTATGTAGATCTAACTGATCTGTTGGATTTACAGTTCAGTATTTCTGTTACAGGAGGATCCACGACTGAAATTTCCAGTGCATCTGAGATCAAAAGCATCTTTGAACCCTAATGATTTGGGCCCTCTTCCTGTAAGTGATAATGTGTATGTATTTTAATATATACCTGCTATCTTATGTGTCTGATCTATTATTGCAGTCTTATATTGTATGTGGACACACATTGCTGTCATCACTTTTCTGAAGATATTAAAGCTATGTGTATATATAGCAGCAAAAAGCTTTATTGTGATCTGTGAATCAGTCAGGCTCTTTGAAGCCAGCCCATAGTATTTCTGAAAAGATGATCTGTTTCTTTGTTTATCTGAAGCTTTGAGCTTTGAAGAAACTTACCTTGGCTTTATCTCTGACTATGTGCTTTTCCATAATTACCTGTTGCTTTAGGAAAAAATGGAGCAGATCGTTGAAAGCAAGCTCTATCAATGTACCAGCATATATTGGCGCTCAGAAATCTAAATAAATTTTGATTTTTTTTTTCAATGAAACTTACATATTCTGCAGAGAAGATTATCATTTTAACATCAGAAGTTTTGTCATACTTGTAACCAAAGTATAATATTGATTTACAGCCCTGTCAAATACAGAGCTTTATTTTTTAAAAACTACATCCTTAATGGCAGAGACTAGTCTATGAAAGCTAGCACTTCTTCTCAGGTGATGATTTTTATGGTGTAGTGTTAATTCAGCTCATTGCCTCATCAAAGCCTCATGAGGCTTTCAGCAACCTGGTCCAGTGGAAGATGTCCCTGCCCAGGGTAGGGGGGGTTGGACCTAGATGATCTTTAAGGTCCCTTCCAACCAAACCATTCTATGATTCTATATATATACTAAGCATACTTTTGAGAAATTGCCATTGAAGTTGTACTTGCAACACTGGAAAGCTTAGTGACAACAAGCCACTAGCTGTCCCCAGCACTCTCAGTGCTCCAGCATGTATTACAGACAAGCTGCTTGCAAAGAGCTGTGCCAGCTGAAGAGGCTACTGTCCCACCCTACAGGACACGGCAGATTAAATTATTTTAGTTTTAAACGGTTTGAATAACAAGTCTTTAATCCTACTCACTTTCGTTGAGCTGGGTTACAGCTTACTTAGATGAAGCGGTCTGCCAGCAGGCCAAAACGAGTGTTGCTTTTGGGCAAGAGTGGTGACAAATGCTACCTGTGGTGAGGGACGATAACCTCTGTTACCACCTATGATGAGACACCCTCTTCTAAAACATCCTAAAAGCTCACTGCCCTTCTCTTGATTAGCAAAAAGTTTTGCTTTGTATTTAAATCAAGCTAGGGCACTTGTCAGGCCAAGCGTCTTAAATCACTGAAGATATCAAAAACTATGCACAGTTGAACATGTTTATGATCATGCATTTCCTGGTTACAACACAGCAGTAATGCAGTCTGTCTTTAAGAAAACAGCTGTGGAAGTAACCGTTCTTTTGCAATTCTCCAGATACACTGAGCATGCGTTAATCTTGGAGGACACATTGCTTAGATAGGAGGCACTGCATGGGAGTAACTGAAGGGCCAGTTTACAGTTTATTCTGTTAATTGCAAGAGGCAAAACGTGCAGTGAAGTATCAGGAGAGTTTGACATATATCATTTGAAATACGTAATTAGTAACAGATTTACACTCAGTTAAACCATTTTTGAGTGAGGTGGGAATGACTGCAGAATTTAACAAGCGTTTCTCAAAAAAAGATTGAAATGAAATAATTTCTCATCTATATTTTATAGAAGTGTGAAGCTCATGTACAGCATACAAGTGGAATGAGTGCTAGTCTGGACAGCACTGCATAGACTAACAGAGTGCCATTTATTCTCCTTTCTATACTACAATTATGTGGAAGATGAGAAAAGGGAATGGATAAAAAGGGAAGAATTGAGGACTAGGTTAGACATTCTTGTCCGCTGTAGTGGCATCCTGGCTTACATATTTACGTAAATAGCCCACATGTGTTTCAGAAGTAGAAGCAGAAACTCTCAAACCTAACCGATGATGGACAATCTGTTCTTTGTGATCATTTCCTCATAGTAGGAAATGGGCATAAAGCCTGATGCAAGAAGTTTCCACTTCCAAGCTTTAAAAAAAATATTTACTGTATTGGATACAGTTACCTGTATAAATAGTCAGTTCTTTGAATGTTCCTAGATTTTTGACCATGACATAATGCGTCTGTGATCGTTTTGTATTTTCTACCTCACAAGCATCTATCAGATAATTTAAGTAGGTGTGAATAATGTATTGCATCAAGCTGTATGAGACTGGTAGTATTTCACTTATTTTCTCTCTCTCTTTTTTTCTTTTTCTTTCCCAATTCCAGCCTGGTTGGGAGGAAAGAATACATTTGGATGGAAGAACGTTTTATATAGACCATAGTAAGTAAGCACTCAGGTACTACAGCAAATAGACAAAGGGAGGTAATAAATATTGAAGTGAAAGCTTTATAATTTTACTCTTCATTTAGGAAGCCAGGTGTTGATATGTGGAGACATTGATACCAGAGACTTAGTGCCCTCATACGGTACTGTATATTCACTGAAAGCTTGCTTTTAATTGGCTCATCAAGCTTTGTCCCTCTCTGACTTGTGAAGCATTAACATTTCTTCTTTGTGGTTTCTTTTGTTCTTGTTGATATTTTGGATTCGTTGTTGTTGTTGTTGATGATCCCATGGCTTATTTGCACTTAATAAATTAAAATATACACTAGGAATAGAAAATAAGATGAGAAAAGATTATATAGCCACAACTCCACATACATAGGCAGTGGAGAAATTAGGACTGATAAGTACTCTTTTCTCTCCTTTAAGAAGGTCTTGTGGCAGTGCTGATTCTGATCTTATTTCCTATTTGTAGCATGTTAAACTGCACCCAGCCCATTAATATTATTCAGTTCTGTTAGTGAAGTTCTAGTGTAAGTGATGTTTCATTGTAGACTTGTCTTATTACAGCATCTCAGAACTACTGTGTGAGTTTTTGTTGTTGTTTGAAAATAAAGCAGCCCAGAAAGACTGGGTTGTTTCTTCTTTTTTTCTTTTTTTTTTAAAGACTTCAGCTGAACTTTATAATGAGATACTTCTACTGATGGCATAATCTTCACAGAAAACAGATAACTCACAAAACTATTAGAAGAGGATATATATGCTACACAAAATTTAGAATTAAAATCTTAAACTATTATACATATTTGACAGTATTCTGTTTTTCCTTCAGTATCAGTAACACTGACTCCGATGCTTATCTGTAGTTGTATATATGACGCTATTAAATCATTAATAAAAGACTGTCTCTAAAGTAATACGAATTTTTGAAATTGTATAAATAGTTTTAAATGAAAATTAGAAATAATACACTCGTCAGGCACAAGATTAATCTCTTTTAAACATCAGTACAGAATTACTATTCTTTATGTAATTGTTTTTCCCAGCAGATATCCAGAAACTTAAATATGGTAAATTATTCTAAACTGCTGCCACTGAAGAGTCACAGAATAAAACCATCTTATTTAAAATACCTGTGTAATTGTTGAGCTTCCCAACCTCCTTTAAAAAGTTTTAATTTTTCAGTCTCCTAAATCTTCTTAAGTATTTTTTAGTCTCTAAAAGTAAACAGAATGTTAAAGTTGTACATTAATTAGAATTGGCCAAAGAATTTAAAATTGTTATAAAACTAACTTTATTTGCATCTGAAATCTCTCTCTGTTTCCTCTTTTGATCTGAGTTTTTTTAGCTTTTTATATAGCAGTTTCTACAAAAGTTGAGAGGGGTTTTGGATAATGCTGCTTGTTTCCAGCAGCTACCCTTTTGGTCTCAGTTTGGTGCCACACGACTACGATTACAAGTGGACTCTAGGAGCAGAGGTGGTGCCAGAGGCGTTACGGTGGACATGTTGCAGCTCCCTTGCGATGATGTTGTGCTCAGTATTTAGGGAATGATGGCGAACAGCGTTCTGTGCTCAGCGATTCGACTTGAGCAATCTCAATAGTAGCATTTGTTTTCACCAGATTGATAAGGAAGTGCAGTGACCTGTGACCGTAAGGATAGGTTTGTGACAGAGCCTGCTGACCCTTACTTGTTTCGTGGCTAACTTTTGAGAGCATATGCTGGAATCCGTCAGGGATCAGCTGTGCTCAGCCCGAAGATGCAAGTCTCAGTAGTCCATTACCATGACAAACTGGCCATCATTTCAGTCATTCCCTGCTAAAGCGGTTAGTTCAGATGCAGCAGATGTAGTCAGTTGCGTTATTAGAATACAAGATAAATGTTGAAGGGGTTGACAGCTTCAACTACTATTAACGACCTGGTTCCCCAGATATATTTTGTAATTCTTCTGCATAATTATCCAACACTGTTGTCCTATTTTTGAAATGCTTTTCTCATCCCTAAGAGGAACTGTAAAAAAAAGTCTAATGCAGCCAGCACACAAACCTTCTCTTGTGGAGCAATACAAACTGCTATTAAGCATGCCATATAAACTAGTAAAGCAAAGTACTGTTAAAGTAATTTAGGTATTACTAGTAGCCAGAAAATATAATATTTTTAGATTTTAACTGTAAACCGTTCTAATTTCTGCAGCGCTCAGTCTTTTAACAAAACCCACAGTGTCTAGTTCTCCGTGATTGGTCCTGGGCTAGCTAAGGCAACATTATTTACCATCCATGAATAAAACAGTATTCTCTATTCATTGTAGCATGTGTATACTTCTCCATTTCCTAGAAGACTTACAGGAAAATATGATCTACCTTTTGGAAGGTGTCATGAAGGAAAACACAAAGGTTTTCCAAGTATATTCCAAACAGTTATCAGTGGTTCACTGACAGAGGGATGGATATGTTAAATGGGTTCCCTTCAAAATCTGTCTTGGATCTGCCATTCTTCAGTATATTCATTAGGGATTTCAACAATAAATTAGGGCGAAAGTTCTCATTAGTTCAGCAAAAACAACAGTGTAGGAGAGGGGAGAGATGCTCACTGGAACAGGATGAGAAATCAGAATGAGTCTGGCAAATTGCCACCGTAGTGTGAAGTAAAATGCTGTTTAATAAGAGTTGCAAAGTGTTACTCAGAATGGGAATAATTAGTAGAATTTGGGTTGAAAAGAGCATGAAAAATGTCATCAACTGGACATGTATTAACTCATCCTGTGATGTATCAACAGGAGTGTCTTAAATAAGACCTGAAGTAATCCTTCTAATCTCAATAGCATTGGTAGTGTCTTGGCTAGGATAATGCTGTATCTAGCATGGGGTCCCAAACTTCAAGAAAAGGGTGGACGACTTGGAAAGGGACCAGACGAAACAGAGGAGAAGAGGGAATCCTCAAAGGCCCTAGAGCCTGATTTATGAGGAAAGACAGAGTATTGTATTTGTGTGAAGACTCAAGGGAGATAGTAGATTTTCAAAAGTGTGCTGCAAAAGGAATGAATTTGTTATCCACATCCACTTTGGATAAGACGGAGAATCTTGAGCTACAGTTGCAGGCAGAGTGGTTCACATTAGGCCCTTCTAACTGTTGGGGCACTTAAGCCCTGGAATAGCATTTATAATCTGAAATCCCTGTCACTGAATACTCTGAAAAGAAAATTAGACAAAGATTAGTCAGTAACATCGTACACTCCTAAGTATGTAGGGCAATAAGAAAGAATTGACAAACTTGCAATCATTTCCAGTTCTACTCTCTTTGCTTCCATAGAGAATTCCCACCATGACTTGTGGCTGTCGGTTTCAAGGAGGTGTAAGAAATGAATTGATATAAAAGCAGTAAACATTGCAGAAGGAAGTTTGACAGAACAGGTTGACGCAAGATGGAAAGGGCCACATTACACATCACGCCTTTATGGCAGGCTCTGGTCTGTAGATCTCAGGTGGTTTCTGGAGCTGTCAGTCTAACAGCCTTCCTCCATAATTTCAATAAGCAGTAAATAGACTCGATGTGTAAAGGGAAATAAAAGAGTATTTTAATATTAAATTAACTGATAGATCAAATTTCTGGAAAGGTGCTTGTGATCTTTTTGAATTTTCTTCCGTTAACATTTAATGAATGTCACCTTTCAAATGCCAGTCCGTTTTAAAACTAGCTTGGGATTCTCAAAACACATGGGTCTTTTCCAACTGCAGAAACGTGGAAAATAGTTGTGTTTTAATATAAGTGGCTTTGGTTCTTTGCTTTTATCTATAGCAGCCATAAAAACAATTTTCGTGAAATTTAGTGTGTTTGTTCCCAAACCTAGCAATTACAAAACTTAAAATCTGGACTGCTGTCTTAATAGGCAATTCATAAATCCAAGCAGCAGTGTATGTAACAAACAGATGTATTGTTATTACCCTTGCAGTGCAGGGAATGGGTGACTTAAACCTTGCCATTGCAGGTGGCATCTAGTTTGGTTTTTGGAGCATTGTCTTATTGTTGCGACATCATCATTTTGTTGTGATTCTGTTGTGTTCAGAATCTTGTGAGGAGCAGTTGTCTGGAGGCAGGGAGAGTTTCACCGTGGTCCTCTATAACCTTACCATATCACCCTCCCGCTGCTCTTAAAAACTGTAGATTTAAAAGAACTGGCTTCTGTCGCGTTACTGCCAAAATCTCCTTTGGTCAAAACTCAATGATCTCTTATAGCGTAACTGTGTAATTTTGCCTCCCTTAATGATCCTATAACCTTTTCATTAAATCAGTGTCTAGGAGTTGGTTTGGGGGTTTTTTTTAAAGAGATGTTATTCCCTCCAAATTTAAATACAGCCTGTCTTTTAAAAGTATTACATTTTGGCTGTCTTCATGCAAAGTTTCAAAAAAGTAAACTTAGTCTGTCATTTGGCAAAGTTTTTGGGTTCCCTTACCTTCCGGGCATGAAGTCTGTGTATTTCTAATATGAGTTGAATCCAAGACCATGTTCAAATAGAACATGTTTACTACTACAGACGCTGAAATAAAAGCAGTGTAAATACACTGGATTCTGTTGTAGTTTTGTACTTTTGAATGAGTATTTTCAACTAAACGGTGTGATGGGGTTTTGATATAGATGGGTGAACGCAACCTTTTCTAACCCTGAAATACTAAGTTGTGGAAATGGTAGGGGAAGC